TTTCTTCACATTAATTTGTAACAAACATATTGTTTCTATGTGAGTGGTCCGTTGGTATAAGTCCGATTTGTAACTATGCGAAGATTTCTGCACAAATTTTCTAGTGAGATTCCTGTTACACTTCTTATGATAAAAAACCAGTATGTATACTTGAGAAATTAGCCATAGCTGGAATTGTTTTTTTTTAATTAAGATTTTAAACACGGTACATTCTGCCATCCTACGAAATTCCTGGAGAAGTGTCACGATGGAATATTAATTTAGTTAGAAGCTTATTGTTAAAGGTCACTCCATTTTTTCTGTCAGCGATTGGTTTCATTTATTTTTGTTGAATTTTGTATTGGATTTATATCTGGCAATGCTAAATATTAAATGAAGGACTGTATCCTTCATTTATGTCCCAATCTCCTGCGTTTGGGAGTAGAGCATGAATGCTATATATATATTGGGGAAAGCAGGATGGGATCGAAAACAGTATGAATTAAAAATTTTTTTGAGAATTATCATAGAGAAAAATTTGCTCTCTTTTCATATAGTTTTGCTTGTATTTATCGTATTTATAGTTTTTAAAATATTTTTTGTCGGAACAATTCCTATGAAATATTTTGTACACCATGTAACAGTATCAGAAATTCGCACGCAACAATATCGCTCACAACCTCTTTTAGAAGCAAAAATGTGATAAAAGGATTTCACTCAGTATATACTGCCGTTACTCTCTGGTATTTCGTTTAATTTGTAAAATGCGAGTTTTCGATGCTGAACATGCGTGGAATTTCCGACTTAAGAAGCAGGAACAAAAGCATTTATGTCGGGTTTTTAGTTTTGTTCCTTTCAAATCATTATATAATTTATAGCTTGGTAAATTATGAACTATTAAGAGGTGAAAATGTCAACATCCGAATGTTTCTGATGTATTATTTATGCGGTAGTTTTGTATATTTGATATATTTTATCATAATAGAAGCCAAAATTGTACAGGAAAGAATAACGTCATTATCATTATGGGGATTCTTCCCCATACTGATAATGACATTACTCTTTCCCGTACAATTTCATTGAGATGGAATCTGTTTAAATCATTTCTCTTTTTTCTTTTATGAGTGAAAACAGGAAATTATCTACAAAAAATTTTAAGTTTTAAGGTAATTTGTGTAGGAATGATACTATTGTTTGAGGGATATTGTTTTTATCCAATCTCTCGTGTAATCTCTCGAGCTAGCCAACGCCGCCACCGACGACGTATAATCGCAAAAATTTTGTGGCCGCCATTGAAAGCTAGTTTGAAAGACCATTCGTTACAAATTAAAATTATTTTCCTGACCCCTTCCCTTTTTTATATTTAATTCTTCCTTGACCCACCATTTCTTTTTATGATTATTTTGAATTCATTTCTTCTAGCAATCAGAATTTTCTAACGATTTTTGTATCTTTGCTTTTACAGAGTCTCCATCATTATCTCTGCATTAGCAAAGTTTTATTTGGTATGTTTAAAATTAGAATAACAAGTTCTGTAATATTTATTCATAATAAATATTACATTTTTTTAAAAAATTTCTGCTGTTATTTCTTCATTAGTAAAGTTTATATTTGGTATATTCAAAATTTGAGAAATTAACATAGAATAATTCGTAACCTCCTATATAATTTTTATTTATAGAAAACATTATATTTGAGAAGTTTCCTTCATCGTTTCTTCATTAGTAAAATTTTTATTTGGTATGTTTAAAGTTACAGTAGTTTACAAATTCTACAGTTTTTATCCATAATTAATATTGCTTTTTAAAGAAGTTTTCGTCATTATTTTACATTGGTAAAGTTTGTATTTGGTATATTCAAAGTATAAAAAGCAATAATTCACAAGATCTTCTATAATTTTTATTTATATAAACATTATATTTTTTGAAAAGTTTCCTTCACTGTTTCTCCATTAGTAAAATTTGTATTTGATATGTCTAAAGTTAAAATAATTCACAAGCTCTTTTATAATTTTTATGAAGATAAAGTTATTTTTTGCATTCTGTTTGAAATACGATCTGTCAGCGATAGTAACGGGAGTTCCGATGCCGCCACGAGTCATTCAGTTGGCTATCTTTCACTCCGTGTGTGTGCCGTCGCGATTTATTTAGAGTGAATTCGTTGCTTTATCCAACGAATATCTCAAAAATTTTGTTTCTGAAAAACAGTCGCACAAGAACGATCAATTAATATCGCCTACACAATGCGCTCTGTTTAAATGCGAAGTTAAAAGTGCGGTTTTTACGGGGCTTGAAACAATTAAATCCTGAGTTACGCTATTGTTTCTCGATTCCTCAGCACACATCATGCTTTATCCATTGGCGTACCATTGCAACGATCTGTAAACAAACAAAAAAAACAACGTATTTTAAATCGTATTTCAACCGATAAAATCTTTTACCGTATTGCAAGATCGAGAGTTAAGAACCAATGCCGCCACAATCTTTCTTGATAGCACTCAAACTACTGATAATCTAAATTATATTGACGGCTACGTTGTGAAACATATAATATGTGCATATGCATAGCCTCAAAGAGTCATATCATGATTGGAAAATGAGCAATATAAACGACTTGATTGTTTTGATAGTTTAATTAATACTTAAATTTATAGTACCTCAACTAGTTTGCTATCAATTCGTCTGCCGCAAGGACGTAGATTCTCAGGTGCAAATTGGTCATACTTTTCCCATTTAGGTTCCTGAATTAGAGCTGGAAGAGAAGACAGAAAGATATCATAAAAATTTCCATTTCTGATAAAAACAACTTACATAAGCTCGTTTTTTCAATTTTACTTCGCAACCACCTCTAAGTTTTGTATGTATTTCAAAGCGTATTTCTGAAATAAGTGTGTAAGCTAGAAAAATACCACTCTCGTATTTGTTCTCCAATATGTCCATGAATTAATCTCATTATCAGCATTCAAATAACCATACTATATTCTCACCTTCGTGTCGGAAGATATTTTTCATATTTTCGATATATGTTCCACGTTGGAGTGAAAAAATTGTTTGTTGGAACTGTCGTTTCATATCAACTGCTTCACTTGTTAATACATCTCTGAAATAATGACTGATGAAACATGGCCAGAGGTCTTCACTTCAGCAATAAAAGATAAATTTACAATTCGAAAAAATAGTCATTTTTATGTTCTAGAATGAATGGAGGAGCAAAGAAGTTATGTGGACCTGAGATGAGAATATTGCACACCCATAATGATTATTACGACCTCTATCACCACCTTGTTCTCTTTATCAAGAATACATGCCGCAAAATGGGATAGCTTGTCCAACTTTACCCATCGATGAATTGTTTGTAATGAACCGTTCACATAATCCAACACTTCCTTCACTCTGCATTTCTAGAATTCAAAAACAAAAGTAAGCAAGATCGATTCAATCAACGATTACTAACAGGCATTACTTTGAAACAGCAGCAAATCCTTTGAGAAACTGATCAATTTGCAATTTTAAAAGCTGCTAAATGCATGACTTGTGAAACTTTCAGGGTCGCGAATGATGATACAGATTTACTTGTGAGTGCTTAACAAATAGATCGTTCTAAATTCTCACTTACATGAATTAAAATATCTCCGTAGCTAACAGTATCAAACATCTCAGCTGGATAACCACTATAATTGAAAAGCACAGTATGGGAAATAATTTCCAAAAATTCGGTAATCACATCAGCCAATGCTGTAAATATTGTATATATTTACTATGTCTTACCTGCCAAATTTGTCCAAATATTCCAATCTCTTAATATACAACAATTTATTTTCTCCCTCTGTATAACAAAATTTTATTTTCTTAAAGACGTTTACAGGTCTTCTATAGTAAGTCAAATCAAAGAGAAAAAAAAGCTTTAAGGCACTTCGTTTTAGAAGCTAACAACTTCCAAAACGTTTTCACTGAAAATGAACAATAGTGCATTGCGTTAAAATTATGTTAATAGAAAAAAAAAAGCACATATTGACCACCCACCTTTGCGACCATTAAAACCTTTTCGACCGATTTTAGCAATCTGAACACTTCTTCCCATTGTGTTAGCAAGAGCTAAGTGAAATGCAGTTTTCTCGATCACAGATTCTTCTGTCCATACTATCTATAACTGTCTTTCGATGAAGAACCACCATTATCACTACAATCAACAAAAACACAAAAATGACAAGCACCAACTGACCTCCGCCCTCCTCAACTTTCTCTCCCTTACTTTGACGTTATTGCGCATCATTCTCACCGGACCGCAATGAAAATTGTCTCGCTCATCACTCTTCCCGCGCCACAAAATGATGACAATTATTTGTGGGGCAAGATTTTAACATTTCCCGTATTTAAAATTACCTTACAGGTAATTAAAATTACCTTACAGAAATGTTAAAATGTTCAATCGTTCCGAAGACAATTTATTCAGAATGCTTATCGCCGTCGCTCACATATGCCTCACAACGCTTTGTAAACCATCCGCTACTAATTTCAAGCTTCCGTTTAAAGTGAAATTTTTGTCTTCATTATTTTACGTAAGTACACGTCCCATCTGTTTGAGCTTATATATTACTACTGTATAACGTAAGTCAGTAACAAATGATGAGTATTATATACACGTACAGTTTAGAATATTCTAGCTCCGCTTACTTTAAAATGGATAAATCGAAATGAACACACAGTACTACGGGTGCTTATCCATCCCATTTGTTAATATTCTACATATTCAGTTGTCCGCATAATTACGTGATTCGAAACATACGTGAATATTACACCATCATATCACTCCAACAAAGAATAGTGAATTTCATTACGATTGATTTTGCTTATCAACATCTGATTTTTTTTTCGTGATTTTGTGATTTTTCAAATACTTTTAATTTATTATACTATGTTGCATTTTTAACTGGAAGAAGGGAATGATTAATACTGATTAAAAAGGAGTGTTCTCGTGAAAGAATCAGCGAATTCTAAGGAAGCAAAACGAAAGAATCGTATAACTGGACATACGCCTTACAGACATGGTTGTTATTCAATGAAGATCATTACGACATGTGATTTCGGATCAATTAATAACTCATGTTATCTCAGGATGGCTCGACCTTGATCGTCAATTTTATAACCAAAAGAGTGATAAAGCTTTCCAAATTGATTCAAAATAAACGACAATAACGAATTATCGCATGCAGCAACTGCATTCAATCCAATTAAACTTTTAGAAAAATTACACGATCAAATCAATCATTTAATCAGAAGTCACACCTGCTGAATATATGATCATTTATGTATTACATAATCATCATTTCCTCATAAAAAAGCTTTTTCACTAACGGGACCGCAGGTACGTATACAATAATTTGTTTAAAATTTGTTTATTGAATTCATGGAAATTAAAAATAAAATTGAAATAATGAAAATGAGGAAGCATTATCATCCAGCTAAGAGTATACTTGATGGGAGAAGATGATAAAGTTAATATTTTTTTCTCGTTCCTTTTTTTTACGTTCTTTCCCATTAAAATTAGATGGATGCAAAAATCTTTTCAAGCTCATAATTAAAAGAATTGTAAAAAAAATAGAAAAAATTTTCATAAACATATTAAAACAAAATTAAGAGGAAAAAAGCACAATAAAAGACGTAATACCGTCAGCTGTCAAATTGAATTTTAATGTTATTTCCGGAATTGATTCGTGGATACAAAAAATGATTTCCATTTGTCAGTTATTAAAAATAATTTTAGCCGTCACATAATTAAAAAATACAATAAAGCATTGTGTGAATCGAGAAAGATGCGAAGGAATTTAAATTTATCAAAAAAAAGTCATCAGTATATTTAAATTTCTATTTATGAATAAGAAATATAGTAATTCCTTCACATATTTCGATTCTGTAATAACAGAAGAGAAATTATTTTCACGTAAATCCAAGCTGAATTGCAGCACATACAACTGAGAACAAACAGCAGAATTACTGTGTTAGCTGGTTCAGTCTGGATAATGTAATGAATAAAAATAATTTATGCGACATTATCTGAAAAAGCAGCATGAATTAGCGGTGATGAAATGAAATTCTAATTGGACTTACATATCTATCATCAAGGCTAAGAATCGATGAAAGATTTTAGCAGTGTTACTTCATAATCTTTTTCAACAGTCTGCAAGAAGTGTACACTAATTTAAAATGGTTATACTGGCGGAAATTTATTGTATTTATTAAATCTCCTCTTTATTTACAATAATGAATGGTAAGTAATAAACGGTAATATCAAATGGTAGAACAAATCTGGATATGAAAATCTTCAAAATAAAATTTTTTTCTGTTTGCTATAATTGTTGTGGTGAATTCTCAAAGATATATTTATGAAGAGTTAATGTGATATTTAAATTTATAAGATAAAATGTCACTAATGAACTTCAGGTTATTCAATTACTAAAGAAATAGAATCGCGATTATTAAATATATAGTATAGTACTATTCAATCTAAGTCTTTTTTATTCGTATAAAGAAAATTTAAAAAATAACAATGCTTAATTTATTGTGAACTTACAACAAAACCAAAATTAAGCCATGTCGGCAGGAAGTTGAAATATTTTCGAGATAGATTTTTTTTGCAAGAAAATTGAAATTAGAAATTAATGAACAGCAACAGCCGGTGTATCGTTCCCTGTTTGGCTGGTAATTTTTTTTTTGCATACTTCTTCTTCGATCTGTTTTTCTTCAACAACCTGTAAACGTCAATATGTGGTGATTTTTAAATTCAATATAATGCATCAATCATTACCATCAGAACGAACAGCACTAATCCTCTTTTCTCACATACTTTTTTTAAGTAGTAAAATTTCGAAAACTTGCCGACAATGAACCCTTATCATAGTCATATATAAGAAATATAAATTCTATAAAGTGAATCAACCATTCTCATCCGATAATCATATCACAATGCATTATCACTCTTCAAAATATTCCTCATTATTCAGTCACATTGAAATTAATAATCCATCGTGTAATCTCATTTCAACAAAGATTTCCAAATATAGAAAATTAAAAACCTTTTCAGCAGTCTTATCTTTTTCTTCGGCTTCTTTTGCAAGTTTTTTTGGTGTCTGCAAAAGATGACATTTTCTTCATTTTTGAGAAAAAAAAAGAAAAATCTTTGGGGATCATTTCAATATATGAACATGACATACACTGCCACCACCATTTTAGTGGTAGCGTTATATGCCATGTTCATGTACTTACCTCTCATCATACATTCATGAAACAAAAAAATGAATGAGCAACATTTTCACAATTCTTCATTCCAGTATTGACTAATTTAATGTATCTAAAAATTAATGGGATAAACCTGAGCTGGCTGTGCTCGTCTGAAGAAATTTAAAACTGTCTGAATAAGATTCCTTGGTACCACCTGTGAAGCTGCTTGAATAAGTTGCTCGACATCAATTCCCTGAAATCAATCAAATTATTTATTAATTAAATTTAATTAAATTCCAGCAAAAAAGTCTTCATTAATTCGCCGATTAGCTCTACCAAAAAATGAAATGTTTAAAGATGACCTTTTGCTCAAAAATGTTCTGTGCCTTGAGAGCAAGCTGCATAAGTGTATTAAATACTGCTTGATATCCTGCTTTTCCTTTCTCTTGTAGATCTGCAGCGGTAAATATCTGTAAATGGATTTTTTAGCAATTAAACAATCAAAAAATATAAATTTCAAATTTCAGTTTTGTTATCTTATTCGAAATTATTTTGAAAACTTTTTTTTTTAAAAAAAATAAGCATATTTCATCGATGAAATTTGTACAGCACAGATCGACATAAACATCCTGTATGTATTTGTTCCCTAATTTTGTTAAAATCCTCCCTTAGATGAAAGCTCTTTTGCTCTTAATGACTGCTGCATTGTAAAATTAAAAGCCCTAATATTTATGCAATTTTCGATTTTCTTCTTTTTTTGGGCCATTGAAGCTAAATGAGCAAAAGAAATTTAATCTATTTTAGCCTTGTAATAGCCAAATAGCTGTTTATATTTAGAACTGCGCGCCAGTCACAGCAATTTGGTAATACGGAGTAGCATTAGCTTTTTTCGGCCAAAAAAAAAAATGGCTAGAATAAAAAGACCGACATCTATATCTATATATACTGGAGCCTAATAGAGATGGAGAAGAGATCAGGCTGACTATAGTGGCTAATCAATCATTCTCCACCATTTTCCACATACATAAATATACATTCTATTGAAAAGCAAATATTTCTCAGAAAAAAAAAAACAAAAATATGCTAGAGCATTGAAGTCAACTGACTAATAAGATTTATTTTCCAATTGAATGAACCTTAAAATAAGGAATAAATTGCTGCCAGCATATGAAATGATGGTAGTATTTTTTGAATGAATTAGGAAAGAATGGATGGAATTAATTTATCGGGTTAGCATGAATGAATCAATCCCTTATCGTCTTCCATCTCTCAAAACTATCCTTTCATTTTGTGCTAAATATCTTTTACCCATGCTTGATGATTTATTGCAGTCTGAAAGATAAAAGGCAAAAAATAAGAGAGACAAAACGTAGCCGATTAATTCAATGTCACAAATTAAATTTCTTCTTATTGCATTTGTTTGAAATCGGTATTCTACCAAGTCAAGATAGCACATTAAAAACACCAATCTAATATACCAAATTCTTTTTTATTCATACAAACACACACACATACACACACACACACACACACAC